TTTTATTACGTTTGTCTAAAAATTTTTAAATAAAATATTTATTTGTAGTGACTTTATATATTTTAATACAAATAATTCTGCTTTTAAGATAAGATCTGATTTATATTACTTTTGTAAAATATGAAAAATATTTTATACCTTAAAACCAAAGAGTAAAATAGCATTAGAATAATTTTAATGAAAATTCATAAATTTCAAATTGATTTTATGTAAATTTTCATTTTATTTTGATGCTTCAAATAATTTTTAAAGTTTGAAATTAGTTTTAAAATTGTTCAATGTATGAAAAAACGTGCCACTATACAAAATGCTTTCTATATGCAAATATTTTTAAACTACTTATTAAAATACTTAGGATTAAAAATTAATTTCTAACTAAACTAGAAATTAAAGGAATTACTTTGCTTGCTTATCATTTTGACTGTAGTAAAAATGTGACATTTTTCAAGTGAGTTAATCTTCAAATAATCAATAACTAATTTTAGTTTATCATAAAATGGTAATTTTAATGTCTCTGTTAGAGTAGAGAAAAATATCAAAACAACCTGTTAATTTGATTCAGAACTTCCAAATCTGTTGCATTTTTCACTATCTTTTCCACATTATCCGAAAATACTTTTCCCTTAAATAACGCAAAATGGAATGAAAAAGTAGAATTAATTAATTGATCGTCTGCTATTTTCCTATTTCGTGTTGCCATTCCTCTTTTCTCTATTGTAAAATTCCATTTTGTTCTGGCTTAGCGCGGATTATTTTTGCGCTCCAAATTATGAATTTAGACTGCGAAGTCAACATAAAAGAGAAACAATTTTAGCTGTTTTGGTTTCATTTTTGCAGTAAATCGTTTGAGATAAGAGCTAACGGCGCATTTTGCCTGGCGCTGCAAGTAATTATAACGGACAGTAGCGGCCAGGAAACAACTCAACTCGTCTCCTTTTACTACGGATATTTTTTTCTACCTCTTCTCATTCTCTTTTGTCGGTTTTGATATTTATTTTATTTGCCTTTTGGCAAATAGTGCGGGATTTTAGCAAACAGAAGGGGGGCAGTTAAAAGGAGGGAGGGCTCGTTGTAATTAACACAAGCGCAGAGAGGTTTTAATTACTAGTCCAAAAAGAGGGGGAGTTTATGTGGAATAAGGGTTAAAGCCTAATTACGGGATTTTTCTTAGCACCCGACAAGCTTAGCGGTATGGGTTTCGACTTTTAATGAGAGCACGTGAATAAGAAAAAAAAAACAAGGTTTTTTTTTGTTATTAAAAAAAGTATTAAAGCACAAAAATAGCTGAATAAACAACAGAGATCTGTCTTTGTAGTTGAATGGAAAAACAATAAAGGTTTTTCTATCAAAGAAAAAAAATACATTAAAATCGTTTGCTTTCTGTTTTTTTTTTATATTAATTTTTACTAGACATCGATTGTTCGAAAATTTATTCCAAATTATTCCTGAGATTTATATTAGGACGATAAAAAAGCAAGGGAGCGTAAAATGGAGTAGTTAGAGTTATTCATTTATTCGCGAATGGATCAGGTATCTTTTGATTATCTTAATTTTTCCGAGCGTTTGATTTCTAAGTGCGTATTATACAAAAGGAAACTTGTTCGTAGTTTTACTCTCCTTTAATTTAATGTTTTTGTTCTTACGGGGCATCATTAATGAGAAGATAAAATCATTTCGTTACTTTTTTTTACGTTATTTGATAGTACTTTAAGGATTTGAGTAACTAATAAAAATTCAAATCTAATAAAGTATCAGATATAATATTCTGTTATATGATATATTTTGCATTAATTTATGAAATAATTTTAAAATCTTAAATTTTACGTTCTTTTGGAAATAATTTTAAGTTCTATCAATAATTATTTTAAGTTCTTTATTAAAATGTTTTTTTTTTCTCTTTTATAATTAATTTATAAAAAAAATTTAAATTTGTTCTTTGGCAAGAAAATTTATTAGATAGGATTTAATTTTTTTATCATTACATGTAATACACATATGTTTTTTTTTTAACTTTGTATATTATTTTTAACTTACATCAATGCTTAGCGGACATCTAAAAGAATCAAATCATAGGCACTTAGTCTCAAAACTGTTTCTCTATTAAGGACTTTAGTTATTTTATTTTAATTTAAAAATCGCGATGGGAAATATTAATTCAATTTTTCATAAATGCAGGTTCTTTTCATAATGCATTAAAAACGTTGTTATTAAAAAAAATTATATATTTTAAAATAAAAACATTTGTGAGTTATTTTTATTGATATTTTACTTTAAATAAGTTCTTCAAAACAACTGAAATAATCAATAAATAATAGACTACTATTTATATCTAAATATAAATGAGATTTCAAAAGTTATTACTGTGAGGTAAAAAATCCCAATTTTCGGAACCCTTTTACCTCTCCATGGAACTCTAGAGTTCCACGGTGAACTAGGAACCGCTCTTGTAGATAACCATCTTTGATTGTCTCTTAACATCAGGGCTATTCATGATAGAATCACAATCAACTTAGACCTTTTTTGTGAAAACGAATCAACTTATAAACAAGATCAAAATGGTGTATAACAAACAAAAGCAAGAGAACAAACTACAATGATCAAAGGAACTACACTGAGCAATCGATCAAGGTACTCCTTAACTGATGTGTGAATAAAAAGAGCGGCGATTATGTCTATCTCATCGTTGCCAAGGCGACGAAGTTAGAAAATGTGACCTTGAAATGCCAATTTTATTCACAAGGAGTATAATTTAATGCTCTCAAAAGTCATAATTTTAATATGCTTAAACATAATTTGTTTAGTATTTCTAAATAATTTAATATCATGTTTTTTTTTTCAATTTTATAACGGTGTAAAACGTAGGAATTTTTAAAGCACAAACTTTAATTATATTTAGAAAAAAACTTACTCAAATGTAATTACAAGAAAAGTCAATTATTTTAAGAAGTATTTGATGATAAAATTCAGGCGATAATTAAAAGAGTTTATGCTTGCTTTCAAAAGAAAAAAGTTTTGAGATCAAATGTTATGATAATAATCAACTATAGAAACCATAGAAGAAAAAAAAGAACACAAATGATAATTTAATTTATTAAAAATATTCATATTTATTACATTGTTCTTTAAGTGGACAAACAAACTAGAAGCAAAAATATTCTAAACCTTAACTCCACTTCATTTCTATTCATATCGTTGCTCTCAATTAAAATTAGTCTAATATCAACATCGTTTTTCATACCTGTATCTTCACCACAACTAAGATTCCATTTAGTTTTGATCTGGCGAATTTTCTTTTTCGCCAAATGTCTTTGTTTGTGCGTTTTGAATAACTCATAATGATCCTTACGAGAAGTTTCTTAAAAAGTTTGAGGCACGGCTATAATTAGAACCGAGATGAAGATCTTTTTGAGTCTAGTCTAATGATGCCTTATAGTATTTGACTAATTGACTCTCATTAAGGGATATTTCACTAATTAATCTCTAGATATTTTATCCTATTTCTATGCACTCTTCCATTGGCAGGGGACCTCTTTTTTTTTACGCTTAAAGCGCTTTGAGACAAAATATTTTACTCCTTAAACTGGATCGAATTTCTGGTTTGGAAAGAATTTTTGCTGAGTTATTTTGGGATTTGTTCAAGTTACGCAGACTAATATCTTCATTGAAAGGAATATCGTCTTTGTTTGATGAGGTACCTTTAAAATTAGAAATTCTATGATTAAACTGATGAAAAAAAATGATGAGGATTTACATTAAATTATAAATATCTCTTAAACCGAAGAAATATAAAAATAAGTTCTTAATTATATTCTAAAGATGTAAAAATCTTAAAATTAAGACAAAGATTTTCTGAGAATTCATTTAAATCTTCAATGGTATTTATTTAATTGATTATGCGACTGGCGCATTAAAATATTTTCAGATTATTGAGCAATTAAAAAACAAACATAATTTTTCTGACAAATTAGAAATTTCACTAACTATATTTTACTAACACACTGATTAAGGCCGGGAAAGCCTGGTTAGTAGGGCACTAGGCCCATGTTCAAGAGGTCGTGGGTTCGATCCCCGCTGGCCAAAGACTCCCCGTGTAGTAAATGGTGACGGATGTAAATCTGTCGAGTTACAAAGTCCTCCATGTTTCCATAACAAATCATACCTCTTGGGGTACTGACCAGGAGATTCCTTGTCTTCTGAATTAGTTCAAAATTACAAGGATACGGAGTTGAACATTAGTTGTCGTAAAGCCAAAATTGGGTTGGCTGTTCAACGACTTATATATAACACATTGACTGAGCCGTGGTAACTCAGGGCATAGATTGTTCGCCTTCCAAAGAGGTGTAGAGAGTACAAGCGTAGATACGAATTCCGCACCCGGCTCATACCGACCACAAACATAAAATATCACCAGTGGTAGATCATGCGTTAGAGTCCCCGTGCCATCAGGTTAATCGTGAGAGGTTTTCGTGGTTTCGGGTTAATTCCAAAAAGTCTTCCTTGAAGGCAAATTTCTCCCAATACTCCAGAAGCTCCCTTGACTTCTGGATTGGGTTCAAAATTACAAGGCTACGGAGTTGAACATTGTGAGTTGTAAGCGAAAAATTGTGCCGGTTGTACAACGGCGGTGATAAAATAAAAAAACAAAACAAAATAACGCATTGACTAGGGAATTTTATTTAGCAATTTGCAAATGTAGCCCATTTCTTAAAATCAAAAAATCATTGTATTTGTCAGATTAAACAATATTTTAATTGTAATAAAAATTCCTTCATACTAAGCTGAAGTTAAAGACATAAGATCAGAAAAAAAAAGTTGTCGAAAACTTCGAATTTCAAAGCAATTTTATGCAAAAATGTACTGTTTATTAGTGATGAAATATTGAAATGTTACAAAATTTTATCGACCTATTAATAAGAGTTACTTTTGTTTGAAGAATTGTATTTAATATAAGGTCTCATCTATGAATACTTTATTTAACATGTACCGTTTTGATTTTTTAGGCTGAATGTCAAAATTATGTGCGCGTTCTTGCCCGAAAGTCCGAAGACACGATTCTTGTATGTGGAACTAATGCTTTCAAGCCCATGTGTAGGAACTACAAGCAAACGGTGAGTATTTCCAGAATTTTCAGTTGCTGTCATTATGATAAAAATCGTATGACACAGAACACTAACTAATTGTAGCTAATTGAACACTGATAATCTTTTTAAACTGTTTTTTTATTTTTGTTATTACAGCCAACGGATTATATTGTTATAAAAGAACAGTCTGGCGAGGGCCTCTGTCCGTATGACCCAAATCACAATAGTACAGCTATATATGCAGGTATTATATTATGAAATATGATTTATATGTATCAGTTACTAATTTAATTCATCTGCACCTTTAAAATCAAATATAAAAAAATTTTTTAAACAATTTCTTAATAATTTTTCGACAATTGACATTTTTTAAAAATATTTTTAGATTTTATTCATTCAAATATTTTTTAAATTTATTTTATTCTACTCTTAATCGTTAATTTCTAGATAGTTGTGTAATAGTTTTAATACTAAATAATTAATATCTTATCCATAATGCTTGGTGAATTATTTTGTTACACAATTATTTATTTTAATTACATTCAAGTGAATCTTTAAATAAATAAATGATTTTATTTGATTATTTTTAATAAATAAATAATTTTATATTAGTTTTAATAATTTTTAAATTCTTTGAATTTAGATTTCTTACGAAATATTTTTTTGAAAGAAAATACCAATTCTGTTCTATATTTAATTGATAATTTCTAGTGTAATTATACAATAATTTTATTATGAAACAAGAACTATAAAATTTTGTTGCAAATGCTAAGGAAATTATTTTTTTCACACAATTATTCATTGTTTACGATTTATCGTTTTTATTTAAAGTTAAACTCAAAAATAACAATAATGGTAGTAATAAACAAATTACTTAGTTTCATTTCTTTAAATAAATAAATATTTATTAGCTTTTTTATAATTTTTAAATTATTTTAAATTAAAATATTATTTTAAAATATTTTTTAAGAAAATTATATAATTTCTTATTTAATCGATAAGTTCTAATACATTTGAGCAATAATTATATTTTAAACTATTAACTCTCCATTATCATTGCTAACTCTAAGAGAATTATTATTTTGTTATACAATTTTTTGTTATTTTCTTTGTCTCACAATGCACAAATATTTATTTTACTTGCATAATCATGTTTTTAAATTTTTCTGGGGTGATTGATTGGTGAAGTATGGAATATGCATTCTAACATTTAGTTATTAAATAAGGAATACTTTATAGTATACTTTTAACGCATCATATTACGAAACTCAACATATAATCGAAATATTTTTAGCGCTAATTAATTCAACTTAATTTAATTTTCTAATTTAAACTTAATTTAATACACTGTTGATTAATTACTGATTAATTTAAAATCCGTTATAGCTTGTTTCAAACATGTATGGTATTTATATATCTTGTGTACAATAATTGCTGTACATAAAATCACTTTAGGCCATTAATTAATTCGGTGAAAACATACGATATCTTCGTCACTTTTAAAGAAGAAATGATTAAAAATTTGTGGCCTATGTATTGTAAAATATCATGATTATACAAAATAGTAATTCTTAACTCTATAATTAAAATATTATTAATTATTTTTATTGCATCATATCTCACTCCCTATTATTGTAGACTTAAATAAGTTCCTTGCAGATCCTTGGTTTAAATTTAACTGAAAACTTTCTTTTAAAAAAAAATGAAGATTTTATTCCCTTCCAAAAATATACAAGATAATGCACAATGTTGTATAAAAGAAGGCAAGAAATGAAAAGATTCTTCCTTTTGAAAGTTTAAAGTAAACAAAAACTTCTTGAATAAATACAAATCTAAGCTTATCTGAAATTTTGCCGTTGACAGGTGAAAATCTCTTTCGTCCTATTCAGATAATGTAAAACTATTCTCGAAACCACGTGAGTTTCTGCAGACGAAGGGAAAAAAAAAGAAGTATCTGTGTTCCAGGCTATGTGAGTTCCTGCACCAGAGGAACATTTTGTGGAATCACCTTTCCCGCAATCGTGGAGCCACATCTGTTTGAATGCAGCGCAGACATTCTATTTTAGTTTGCTTTTATAGAGTCAATTTAAAGGAACAGGAAAAATAAGACTTTGATCCTTCTATAAATTGAAAAAATGTTAAGTGTTTAAGGAAAGATACGATTCTTGTTTAACCGAAAATGTTGTGCAGTTTGTTTTATGAAAATGAATGTTTTTGGAGCATTAAATGGAGAGGTTTCGAATGCAATACCAATTTGTGTTGCAACAACAAATATCATTCGATTGTTTAAAATTGATTATAAAAAATGGTTGAGATTTGAAGCAATGAATGAAGAAGTTTCGAATACCATTATTTGTTCTACGAAAATCATTCTTTTTTTAACAAAATGGTGACTGTGCGATTCTTGCAATTAATTCAATTTTTTTAAAATTTAGTACTAAAAGTTCTCTTTGGATATATTGATTTAAAGAAAGAGGGTAAAATTATTTTATAAAATTTAATATTCTGGTTTAACTGAAAATATTATGTAATGTGCTTTGGAAAAATAAATATTTTCACTGAATTGAGATATTAACAATTAGATCAAACCATTGATGAAAGAATTTGACCGGCATTATGTTTTCTATATATATAATACTTCTATTCTGTATTTCAATGAATAAATTATTTTTTTCTAAAGCATAAAAGAGAGAATAATTTTAAACGCTTTTCTTTAATATAATGTAGAAAACTATTCTATTTCATAAAATTGTGTATTTATTTGCTTTTAACTTAACCATGCTATTTGCGTGAACGCAAAATTTTTATAAGGTAAAATGTTTTGAAAATAAAAGTAGCCCAGATTCGTGACGTAATAGTTATTATAGTAATATTTATGGCCCACACTTAAATTTTTTCTTTGTTTTAATGTTTATATATATATATATAATTTTGGGTTCTTTTTCCTTTTTAATTTTTTTTTAAATTTTTTTTATATTTTAATTTATTTTCTTATTTTTTATTTATTTATTTATTTTCGTATTCTTTATTTTTTTTGTTCTTAATCTTTCTTTTTCTTAATTTTGCATGTGCAGAACACTTCTTAGGGTTCGAAACGTTTTCTTTTTCATAATTGTAATTTTAACTTTTCCAGTAGCTATTTCAGAAATATTCTTCTTCGCAAATAAATACAAAAAATCTCTTTAGTTGACTTAGTTGCATAAAAAATATGTTAATCAATAACCCTAAAGCAACTGATGTCATAAAGTAAATCAAAAATCTTACGACTTATAAAATCTTTTACCAAATATTCTTCTTCTTCTTTCAAAAAAAACTTATTCCAGTATCAGTATTAACATTGCGTTAAGTCAACTTAAATTGGATTTCTTTGTTTTATTAAACTAATAATTAACTTTCTAAAAAAAAAAATAGTAATTCATCATTTATTGTGGAATCATTTAATTCTTTAGGCTAATATTTTCCTTAGATAAACTCTAGAAAAAGAACCGAAAGGATTAAATATTAATGCTATTTAACTCTTATACCACCCAACAGAGTAAAACGCACCTTGGCGGACTTTTTTTCGCGCCAACACTTGAATCATAATTAAAATATAATCCATTAGTACGAAGAGGTTTTAATATTTTTCGACAAATAAAAATCTTATTTCCGATAATGCTGGGGAAAACTTTCTCTTCGGAAAGGTAAACAACTTAAAAGATTTTAAGAAGAGTGGAAAAAATTAATTTATTTAAATCCCTTATCAGCGTCGGAACACACGTATTTATAGAACAGTCCAAGAAGTACCTTTTTAGCCGCAAGAGTTATAGAACACGGAAAAAAATTGTAAGGAAAAAATTACACAAATAAATTCCATTAAACAAATTGATTGCAAACAAAAGATACGAAAAATACTTACCTACAGTAATAATCAACTTTGATTATTTTCTGCGTAACACAACACAGGAGATGTTTCTGATGAGAATTTTTTTTTTTTTATCTTTATCCTTTTTATTATTTTATTGTTTTATCCTGATCGCAGTTTGTAATGTGTATGTAAACAAGACAGGAATTTTTTTTTCTGAATACTTAATTTTATTACCCTTATGCCCGGGGTCAGGTAGATGCCTTCTTCCCCCCCTGCAGCATACATTATCGGGTCTGTCTGCCCTGGTGCCCCTAACCTGCAATTGATGGGAGTAGTGGGGAAATTACTTGTGATTTGCATTTCAGAGGGGGGGGGGCAGGAATAGCTTCGATGAAGGGGCTCTTGATGCAAGTTTTTGTTTTCATGCTATTTTTTAATAATTTTTTGGGAAAAAGGATATCGGATTACGGTATCTGTTTTCTTTTCGGAAGTTTTTATTGCAGTTTACAACGGTGTCTTGTCGTTGTAAATTAGGAAATTAAGGTAATCCGTAAGAACCTATTACTCTTTTTAGATATCGATCTCACGTTGTTCAATTATGGGGTTACATGATATTACTTCAAGTAAAATCTCACAAATGCTTTTAAAATCTTTTAACATGTTTGTTGATTTCTTTTTGTGAGTTTAAATTTTTATTTGTATTTTATATTTATCAATATTTTTCTTACCAAAACCAGTTTTGGCTTTAAAAAAAACTCTCTTATTATGAAAAATATTTCATGCAGTTTTATAAATTTAAAATGGCCTTATGTTATTGTCTCCTTATTATTTAAGTGTTATATTTTAATGAAGATTAATATCAATGATTTAAAACCTTCCTAACCTAATTTACCATCAGAAATTCTTTCATTAATGTTTTTAATTTATTATTTAATTAATTTTATTTATTTAATTTACTATTTAATTAATTTATTATTTAATTAATTACTTTTTTTAAGAAAATTGAGATTACAAATAATAATTATATTCTCAATTATCTGTCATTAAAAACCATAAGGTGAGTTTATTTTTTTATTTATTACAAACTATTCATAAATGGAATATTTTAAATCTTTTTAGAAGTTAAAAATATAAAAGAACGTCCTTGAAAATCCAACAATCGATTACCCGACACACTTGATTATCCGACTTTAAATACAAAAAGATTCAAGAATTAAAAGATTCAAGAATTTGAAAAATCAAGCACTGTTTTTTGTTTGATTTGTAACAGGAACTCATAGTTGTAATGTATAATGTGGATTATATATAGGATAATAAGAAAAAATTATAGCAATTATATCATTTTTATATCAACAAATTTTATCTAAAATCTGAAAAATTATGAAATTTTTCAAAAA